CATCAATAGTTTGTATGGCCATTCATCAACAACACAGTCTTGACTGTTGATAAATCGTTGATTAATTACAGATGACTGGTACTTCATGGTGTTTATGCATGTACATATTGTGCATCGTGCTCACAGAAACTTGCAACAAATTGTACTTACCGAGAAGAAGTGGCAATATTTCCACTTCTGAAATACATCATAGAAATCCGCTTCCTGCCGGTAGCAATCACAGAGTTAAATTATTTTTCACTTCATTTTATATGACTTTTATTCATATTTCCACAATTAAACTTTCCGAAATAAAATGCGAAAGAGCTAAGACTGACCGTCTTAATGCTATTAGGAAAACCAATTAAATACCAATCATTTGCAATAAAAAAATCAGACTTTATTTTAGTAGGCAGAAAATGATTTGGATTTTATTTAAAAATAAATAAATTGTTTAAATTTATGGCTCTGGCAAGTAATTTATTTAATACTCTCCTAGGGAATACAAATATATATACCCTAGAGCAAACAAGAACAAGAAATACTCTACATTCTGTACGTAAAACCTACAGTAACTCGACTGCATTTCACAGTCATTTTCAGTTCGCAAAGCCAAAAAAAAAAAAAAAACACACGCATAATCTGATACGTAATGATACGTAAGGGTTACTGTATTTGACTGTCACTACAATTTCGGGCAGTCCCCAATCCAACAACAAAATACATTGACTGCAGCTTTACTCTAATTCGACCCAACAAAAATTGTAGATTCAACCCACCAGATTTTTTCTGTGTATTTATTATAAGGAAGCCATTAGTGTTCATATACACTGCGCGTCATCAGATTAGCGCCCCCTGAATATTCTCGGGTAATGTCCAATATTATCCAAACTATCGAGGCTAAAGCCATAAAACTTTTTTGACGATACTTTTAATAATATTCTTCAAAATAAGATAAGGTACATAATGATAAGTATAACAATAATATTTTATTTATTTGAAAAGAAAATGTATACCAAAAATATGAATTTAATTTTGCGTCATCAGATTAGCGCCTGTAAATTCAAATTTAGTTATTTCGCGTAATTTTTGGCGTACAGTTGTGAAATTTTTTGTGCTGATTAATTGAATAATTTTTTATAAACTAAGAATCAAAATGGGTAAAGGAACTGTCCTATCTTTAGAAGAAAAATCTAAGATCGAAGCCTTTAGTGAAAGTGGCTTATCTTTACATAAAATTGCTGAAAAAATGGGAAGGCATCGAAAAACTATAGCCAGTTTTCTTTAAAATAAACAAGGCTATGGTAAAAATATGAAAGGCGGTAACAACAGAGTTCTTTCCGAAGCAGACATTCGGTCTATAGTTAGACATGCGTCTAATTCACACGACTCTTCTACCAAAATTAAAGAAAAAAGCGGTGTGGAAGCTAGCAAGTCCACGGTATTACGAGTCATAAAAAAAAGCAGAACACTTGAAAAGACTAAAACTAAAAAAAAAACACAACTAAATAAGTTACAAAAGGAAATGCGCCTAAATTTTGCTCGCTCGCATATGACATGGTCGAAGGAGTGGCGCTTTGTAGTCTTTTCCGATGAAAACATATTTAATTTAGAAGGCCCTGATGGCTATAATTATTATTTCCATGACATGCGTAAAGAAGAGCATATTTTAGATCGTTTACATAGCGGGGTAGGTGTTGTAATGGTATGGTGAGCCATATCCCATTATGGCACCTATGAGTTACAATTTCTCACCCCAAAAATGAACGCCGTGGCGTATAATAATCTTTTAAAAACGGCTTTCCCACACTTCCAAAATTGTTTTGGAAATCTGAAATGGCGTTTTCAACACGATAACGCTCCAATCCATACTGCCCGATCTTTAAAATCGTGGATACAGGGCCAAAACGTTGATGTCCTGGAGTGGCCGCCGTACTCTCTGGACTTAAATATAATAGAGAACGTGTGGGGATGGCTCTCGAGAAAAGTATACGAGTCTGGAAAGCAGTATAGTACAAAATTGGAGCTCATCGACGGTATTAAAGAAGCTTGGTCTTCAATATCATTACAATACGTTGAGAAATTGTACGAGTCACTTCCCAGCAGGATCTGTGAGGTCCTGGAAAATGGGGGCGGGACCACCCACTATTAATTTGATTAGAAAATAAGTAAATAATAAGATAAAACATAAAACACTACTAGTTGTTAAGCATTAAGTGAAAATTCATTAAATTTAAGCAGGGGGCGCTAATCTGATGACGCAAAATTAAATTCATATTTTTGGTATACATTTTCTTTTCAAATAAATAAAATATTATTGTTATACTTATCATTATGTACCTTATCTTATTTTGAAGAATATTATTAAAAGTATCGTCAAAAAAAGTTTTATGGCTTTAGCCTTGATAGTTCGGATAATATTGGACATTACCCGAGAATGTTCAGGGGGCGCTAATCTGATGACGCGCAGTGTATCTATTAATTTTTTTAATAAAGACCACGAGTAAGTATGCTACTCTCCTTTATTCACGCACCCTGAATATTGGCATAATTTTGGAATTGTTCAGTAAAATAATAATAAATAAATACGCAATGAATGATTGTTAGAATATTTTGTATAATAAAAAAAAATTAGTCTTATGTATTCGTACATACATGTAATTTTTTATGTTTATGGGAACTTGCCGACCGAACGAAACTGAAATGGTATACAAACTGTGACTTTTAGAAAAATTTTTTATTTATTATTTCTAATTTAAAAAGCTAGAATAAGAAGCAATACCGAGTTAAATTTGAAATGTTCTAAAATCTCTTTAAAGCGTCAATAAAAAGTGACCTCAAAAGTCACAAATGTGCATGGGTGCATTAAATTTTTAATTGCCTGTCAAGAAAACATAACTGTAGTCAATGAGCACCAAAGACTATAAAGCAAAGCGATCCGTAGACGCATTTGCAGTAACGTGATAAAATGAAAGCCTTGGTGGCGATTATTCTTGTCATCATCGTTATGTTATAGCTCAGCGAGTAGCCGAGTGGTCAATTTTTCTTCTAGACAAAAAAATCGAGGCTTACAACACATTAAAAGTCCTGCAGGAGGCTAAGGAGTTCCTTATGCCAATTAAAAGTATGATTTATTCAAAAAGGTCATCTGAAACTTCCGATTCTTCCGACTCTTCCGATTTCAAAACAAAATACTGAAACTTATAAAAAAAAAGCTCGGAATATGGGATAATTTTACTGCCCGCGTTTTTAAGGCAATTTCAGAGACGAGAAGCAGCTTAAGAAGCTAAAAATGAAACTCGACGAACTGGGAAAGGCCGACATGAACTCGAACAGCGATTCATTGTGGGATTTTAAGCCAAATCTTCTGTTAAAATGAAATGTTTATTATATATTTAAATAATTTCCTTTTATATAGTACAATTAACTAATTGTATAATAGGATTTCGCAAAGTTCAAAATTCAATTCTGTCATATAAACAAAGAACAAGAAAAGAAACTAATATCGGCACTCCCAATTTTGTATACCATCTCAGATTACTATATTATAAAATAAAATTTATATATATTTATGTTCAAAAACAATAAAGTAATGTCTAATTTTGTTGCATTCACATATACTTTATTTTTACAGTTTTACAGTTAAATGTTTTAATTTACAGTTTGATATTTTCCTCTACATTTAACGATAGTTTCTATGGTAGCTGCATGATATAATTTCCCGATTGTCATATAATAAATCCGAAAATCTAGAATTATATAAAATGGGTACAAATGGCCATTAAGAAATTTGAAAAGTTATAAATTTGCAAAAGTTATAATTTTAAATTAAATTAATTTCTCGATCCTTCCTAAGGCAGCTACATATGTATATGATAGTATGGTCCGATGTTCATAAAATTTAATACAAAATTTGATGAAAATATGTTTCAAACTGCAAAAGTTATAATTTTGTTGTAAAAATTTTCCGCTTATTCTTATGGCAGCTATTTAACATAGTAGTCATAGTCTTCCGATCCGGCCCGTTCTGTTTAAGATTGATAGAATTTAGAAGACTAACTACAAAGTTTCATTCAGATAGCTTAAAAACTGAGAGACTAGTTTTTGTAGAAACGAACAGACGGACATGGGTGGCCGACTCTGCTGTTAATGCTAATCAAGAACATATTCTTTATAGGGTAGGAAATGACTCCTTCATAGCGTTCCAAACATCTGACTGAATTTATATGTAAGGGTATAATCACTAAGCAAGAAATACATAGAGGAGTCAAACAGTACCAAAAAGTACTATCACAAAAACGGCTGAGCCTGGAACCCCAGGCTGTCATCAATAAAAATTCATTACCAATTCATCTATGATTCATCGATCATTCATCAACAGTTCATCGATGATTCATCAACAAAATGACTTTTGGGAAATATATTGTCAGGAAAAACAAAACTTGAATTAAAATAAGTAGTAATTATAGTGAAATAACTTAAATAATTTGTCCCCCAATGCAAGCGTTAGCCGCTAAGTATTGCTGTGACGTCATAAGCAAGTGAGCCGCCGCCGCGGCGCACTGGCTGTGGCCGTCCAAAATCTTTGAAAAAGACTCTGCATGCAGAAATTTGAACACGCATACACAGAAACGAGAGCACAGCGCAAAGAAATGCACCCCTGCTCATCGTTCCACGGTCGATCTGCCACTGAAAAGTGAATTCTTGTTGTGCTCGGTTTCGAACAAATGCTTCGAACTCAAAAAAGCCGAACGCACTCTGGGGCATGTATAATTGTATCATGCTCTGGGGTTCTAGACATATCGTTCGGGTGCTCTGGGGTTCCAGGCTCAACCGTTTTTGTGATAGTACTTTTTTGATACTGTTTGACTCCTCTATAATGAACTCTTTCTGTTATGTTAAGCATACCACAGCTTCGACGATCACAAACACAAGCTTTTCACATTTCGCGAGCTTTTCGGGTATATGCTTACCTATCTCACTATCTCGAGGCGAAGCTAGTTTTAGTTGCGCGCATAAGGCAAAACCAATAAGAGCGTATCGGCGCCACTCGGTTTGGAAATAAATAATGTAGAAAAATATTATGTAATATAATGTCAAATATAAATATATAAAAAGGCAGGTGTTAGTGGTATTCACAAGCGGACTTAAAACCTAACTACTTTTAACCACGATATGTGCTAAACATCATAGATGTACATATGTTCAAACTGCTTGCACCATCTTATCAGAAACTAAGTTCAATGCCAAGTTAATTTTAACAAACCATGACATGATTTGGATACTTGAATAGCTTGATTAACTCCATATATGTACATATATATGTAAGTAAGTATATTTTCAAATGTATGTGGTCGTTTGAATCTTACAAACGGTTGATTTGCAGATCAGATTTGCTAGAGGTAAAGCCTACTTACTGGTATGTGCAGAAATACTACGCATGATTAATTATAAATAACAATTGACAGCTTATACTATATATTCCAATCTCATTCAGATTAAGTATCAGTTTATTTGCAGGGATGGACTCCATCATACCGATGGAGCGGAGTCCAACTTATCAAGCAACTTATGCGATTAAGAAAAATTAAGCAATATGTGTAAGTGAAATCAAAACAAGCAGTGCACAAATAACTACGGGCTGCAATAAATTATAAAAAGAAAAACAATAACCAAGATATTGACAATAAAAACAATCGAAAAAAGCCAAACAGTGTTTAGTATCAATTCGAAAGGCTAACGAAGCAGGCCAAAAAGCGGCGGCCGAAGGCTTAGGTAACTGTGCCGTTCGACAAAACAGCGCGACGGACCAAGCACAAATACATGACGTACAAACTGTATTAGTGTCTAAATAACCATTACGTAGTATGTTCCCACTGCCAGTCCAATTAAAAATAATAGTAATTAAAAAAGATTGCACACAAAATGTTCGCCAGTAGGCACATCTGCTACTTAAATGTGTCCAAGTTACTGTCATTATTTTTAATACTATTGCTGCCCGGAGGATTGACGAAATTGGTATCTGGTCATAAGCTGACGGTAAGTTGATGTATATTATAAGTTACATACAGAGTACTGGATGTTGCAAATTCTCAATACCAAATGTTGAAAACTGTTGGTAAATACGACCAATAACCAGAGAAATCTGGTGTTTTCAGACAAATGGGACACAAACCAACTGAAATCTAACTACACTGAAATAACACAATATACAATTTATAAATTTGCCTTAAAAACCAAAAGACTTCATCGAAAATGAAAAATAAATTCATTAAATTTGTTGATAAACATACAGAATTTTGGGTGCGTATCAAAGATTGTTGTTTAAAATTGTCAAATACTTTTGATGTGTTCTAAGTTCTTGGATTCTCTGGTGTCGAATGCGACATTCGTACGCATTTAAACTAAAAAAACAATTGCCAAGACTTTATTTTAATTTTACAAAATTTGAAACGTATAGCTCTTGGTTAGCACTATAATTGGTGCTAAGATCGATTTTGGGCCCTTGTTCGTTTTCAAGATATTCACTAAAATGTACTGCATTAGCACGCGACAAGAACTTTGCAAAAAACCAGTTTAACCTCTGATTTCAGCGAAACATGTTGATAAATTGTAATGCAATCAATTTTAATTAATTATGCAATGAATTATCTTAATAATGTTTTTAATGTTTAAGAGATTGGCATCAAAACAAAACATGCCCTTTTTTTATAAAAACAACATTATTTGCGTTTGCGCGTGTTTGAGATCGATTTTTTATTAAGTTTATTTTAGAAAATGAAAAATTCTCTTTCTTGATCAATCTGACCAATTTTAAAAAAAAAAAAAAAAAAAATACAAAATTCTATTTTAATAATAAAATAAAATAATTTTTAAAGGATACAATTTGTGTCCCTCGGTAAAACTTAAAAGATATCAAAATAGGTTTCAGTTCGAGCTGCTTAATATAATCCAAGCCGTTCCAGGCAATTGGTTCTTACATAAAAACAACAAGAAGGGAAGTTAACTTCGGCACGCCGAAGTTTATGTACCCTAGCTGATAAAACTTCGATGTCTAGAAATCCATGCAATATAAAGAATATATATTTATGTTAAACAAGTAAGGAAGCTAACTTCGGCACGCCGAAGATTATATACCCTTGCAGATAGAACTTCGATGACTAGGAATCCATACAATAAAAAATATATATATTTATCTTAAAAAACAATGAAGTAATACCTGCTTTCATTTCATTCACCTATACATATTATATTTGCACTTTTACATTCACAGATTTGAATTTTTCCTTTTCATCTAACGATCGTTTGTATTATATTTGATGAAAATCTGGTGAAAACTGAAGAAGTTATAATTTTTAATTTTATTAATTTCTTGATCGTTTCTATGGCAGCTGTATTATATGGAGTTTCATAAAATTTGACACAAAATTTTAGAATAATATAAAATGGCTATATCTCAAATTTAATGAAAATCTGGAAAAGTTATAATTTTTAATTGTATTAATTTCTCGATCGTTCCTATGGGAGCTATATGATATAGTAATCCGATTTTCATAAAATTTTACACAAAATTGTAGAATAATATGAAACCGCTATATCCCAAATTTGAATTAATTATGTTGACAACTGAAAATGTTATAATTTTTTTTGTAACAATTTTCCGATCATTCCAATGGCAGCTGTATGATATAGTTCCGACATATATATGAGTGAGAATATATAGAAGACTAACTACAAAGTTTCATTTATATAGCCTCAAAACTGAGAGACTAGCTTGCGTAGAAACTGACAGACGGATACGACTAGATCGACTTGGCTGTTGATTCTGATCAAGAATATATATGTATATATTATTTATATGGTCGAAGATGACTTCTTCACTGCGTTGCAAACTTCTGACTGAAATTATAATACCTGGCAAGGGTATAAAAAGAAACAGACCCAAAGAACAACATTGCTTTCTAACTTTCAAATTGTTATTTTTTTCCCCTAGCATAAAGTTATTATATTTCATTTGTGTATTGCTTTTTACAATTGGACGATCCTAAGTTTGTTTCGATTCTGCGTATATGTATGTACATATGAATATCATATACATACATATGTACACATATGTATATGTAGTAGTTGACTCGTAGTCTCGTAGTCATTACGTGGACGTACGTCTTCAGTGCTAAATCGGCAGCCATCACCTATACTATTAGCAACAATCAGCTGTTCTGATAAGATGGAATGGAATGGTTCACTAGCCAAAGAAAGAAAGCTAGCCAAATCGTAATGTAATCGGCATAGGCTACTTGCACGACTTCACGAACTTTTATATTATTTCGATAAAAGATCGCCTTCGCTGTGTGACGCATTGTGTGTTTGGACTTTGGCTAGTGACATACGGGTGCTGAAGTCTATAGGTACACTTTGTTTTTCGTTTTCACTGGCGAAAAATCGAAGGGTAAATATAATCTCTAACCTCTTACACTTTCTTGCATAAATCTGCGTACACCCAAACAGAAAGTTTTTTTTCCATTTAACATTCAGAAGATTTCTTTTTATTTTATTTATTATATACATATACTTTATGTAACCGATTGCGATTATTTCAATTCTTAAAGAAACAGAAGTCAACATTTGTACACATACAAAGTCAGATTTGCTAATCAACAAAGAGAAAAGCTACAGTCGAGTGTGATCGGCCGGTTTTCCGTTATTTTATAACAAAGATATGACTAACTGAAGAGAAATGTTAATAAAATAAAAACATGTGCGACCCTCCCAAAGAAATGCAAATGTTTCAAGGAATATGTTGAGCAATTCCGCTTTGGAAATGCCAACACAAATTTAATTTTTAGTTTAGTTATTGTAATTCAAGACTTGTCACTACGGAAATGGGTTTTGCCAAATTTTAAAACAAACTTTTTCTGCTTGTATCAGGTATGAATTTTGTCAACAAATTTTGTAGATCTAGAATATATAATTTATGAGATCTGTTGCTTCGCACGACCAGACAGACGGATGAATCGGCTAAATCGGCTGATGATTCTTATTAAGAATTTATTTATATATTGTGCAAAGTCCAAGATAGCCCCTTCTATATATCCTTGTGCCTTGCTTCTACTCTATATATACCAGGTACAAAAAACCCATGCAATTTTATGCAGAAATACATACGGCGTTACATACAACATTTTAGGTATAGCCATTTTATATTAGTCTCAAATTGTGTCAAATTTCATGGAAATCGGACGACTATATCATATAGGTGCCATACAAACGATCGTTTGATGTAGAGGAAAAATGCAAATCTGTGAATGCAAAACTGCAAATATAATATGTATTGTAGAATGAAATGAAAGCAGGTGTAATACCTTGTTTTTTAACACAAATATATATAATTTATATTGTATGGATTCCTAGTCATCGAAGTTCTATCTGCAAGGGTATACAAACTTCGGCTTGCCGGCTTGCTTCTTTTCTTGTTCATTTTAATTTTCTTCCAAATAATTTTGAAATTTACATCTACTTAAACTAACTAACTTAAAAAAATTATTTTAACATAACCACTATATGGATTAGATAGCTTATTTATTCAGTTTTAAAATGCTTTCTTAAAATCCTAGATACGATTATTTTTTCCGTAAATAACGTGCTTTGAAAGAAAAAAATAACTTTTTGTGTTTGATTATCAATATCTCTGCAACTAATGATCGCACAGAAAGATTAAGGTGAGTTCTAAAAACTTGAACAAATTTTCGACAAGAGCAAGTCGTTTATATTTTTTATTTTTGACATGTTTTTGAATATTGAACAAATATAGGGTTTCTGGTGGGTACAGGGCAAATCAAAGATATGGACGAAACCCCTATTGTCTCTGATGTAAATTAAATTAAAAAAAAAAGGTTTATTTGCACAGTGTGGAACTTTTTTTTTTTTTTTTTTTTTTTTTAAATCAAGCTCTGAAATGCGTAAGAAAGGAAGAATTCAGTTAGGGGTATCAATTCTGTTTAAATTTTATTGGAATGAGATCAATAAAATGACATGATTCAGTTACAAAATTCCAATGATAAGGTGCTGTTTCCTTAAATTTGTTGAATCATTGAAAAAAAAAAATTTGAGCCACAGTTCAGGTTCCACATATTGTTTTATTTTTTATAAAATCAAACGTTTCCGCCATAATGGCGACCTACTTCAAGGACACAAAGTTCAAGTAAAAAAAACTAACTTCGCCACGCCGAAATTTTTACACCCTTGCAGATTGCAATTCGATCACTAGGAATCAATAAAATACATAAATAATATATATAATATACTACCTGTACCCTGCCACGTTTCTCTGTGGCATATTGTGGTTGCACACATAAGAAATAAGTCAAACAAAAAAGAATAATTTTCAAATTCATTTAATTCTGTAATACTTGTTGGTATAAAATATTCTTCGTTTCTCCATTCTCCTCAATTTCACTTTCCCCGAAGCGCAATCCATTTGGATCGTTTTTGAATTTGAGAGCCTGGCAGTATGTGCAGACCTGATGCACCCGGCCAATAACGACATTGCGATTCGAGCTATAATCAACAGTTGGATTATATCGGAATGCAGAACGATTGTATTGCAGGTTTTGATCTTCTGCAAGCTGTAAACGCGCTTTAGCTACCCTTGCCCTGTCGCGTTCATTATTTTGGGAGTGAATCAAATCGATTGCTGCAGAACGCGACTGCCTAACTCTCAATCGTTTTCTCTCAAGCCTATCTGCTCGTCTTTCTGCTGATTCCGCGTTGTGCATCTGCATTGCTCTTAGCCGCTCAGTCTCTCAGATGGAGGCCCGCTCTTCTGTATTGCGAGTACGACGACCCAAACTCGACTTCTTGGGTGGCATGACTTCGTTTCTTACTGAACCTGAACAAAAAAATAAAATTTGTATCTCTAATTTCTTCTTTCAATATGTTTTGAATGTTTGACAGGAAATGCTTTGATTCAGCTGGCTGCCTGTAGAGGGCACAAGCAGTAGGGCCACGGGGAAACGCGAAAAAACTGATATATTCGCAAA